GAATAGAGATAGCCTGTAGTTGCCGTAGAACGCTCACAACATAAAATATATCCTAGGATATGTGTACATACAGCCATGACAAGGAGCAGATACACTATACAATGTGAAACAAGTTTAGAGCTAAAGCTTATACTAAGGTCTTCGTACCACAAGAAAATTGTGGAAAATTGCGCAGTTTTTTCCGGAGGATATTATCAGATCAAATTCTTGCAAAAAGGTTTTTCCTGCTTTTCTCTGGCACTATCCTCTCCAAGCGTATTGGCAAATAATCAATGAAAGTAATCATTGCACATTGCGATTTGTTCTAAAATTTGGACAACCATAGCATTAATATTGCTGAGTCTATTTGGAGGCAAAATTATAATGACGATTCTTTAGGCTTGGATTCTAACTAAATACCCTTAACAGCTTGATGAGAGCATAGTGGCCACGCAAATGATGAAACCAAATGATATAGCAGCTTGCTTCATTGGAATGACGTCAGATTAGTTGGCAGGCTAGCAACCCAAGGATAACATTCAGCATTCTTTAAATTTGCTTTGAACAACAAAAGTTTCTTAAGAAAGCTTGTTGCGAGAGATGAATCCGAAACCTGATGAACTAGTGAGCGTAAGTTAAGGAGCTACAAAAACTTCATGAAAAAAATGGAACTGCATGTATGTAACGGAAGACTGGAAGCTCTGAAAACTTTCAAATAAAGAATTTGAAAAAGTGGAATGCTCCAAATGAGAATTTCAAGCTCCGAAAAGTTCACAATGAAGATTCTTAAAGTTTGGGGAAGCTTCCGACAAAGGTTTTAAAGCCTCGGAAGGATCTAACTTAAGATTTTAAAGTTCTGGAAAGCTCCAAATGATAATTTTGAAGATTCTGGAGCTCTGGAGAGGGGCGGGTGTTGACCCTATGACATTTAGTATTCTTTCATTTTTCTTGCTCCTTCCCTTTGCTTAGGGATCCCGGTTGGTCTCTGGATATCTCTCGCAATCTGTGGGAATCTCTGGAGATGTCTTGGGATCTCTAGGCATCTCCTGGGGATCTCTGGGGATATCTGCAAATCGCGTTCATGGATAGGAAAGGAAGTTTCAAAGATAGGAAACTATAGGAGAGGTGGGTTGTTGTGATGCATGGATGGCAGAGCGAACCCACTGATGGACAGAGAGCTAGTTGGAGCTGTGATTTTTGGAGTGATTGCAGTGGCCACCTCAACCACAACTGCTGGATGTAGTGTGGTGTGGTGTAGTGTAGTGTTATGTAGCTGTAGTTTTAGATCAAATTCTAGTGTAGTTGTAGCTGTAGTTGATGTTGTCGCAGTTGTAGTTGTAATGTTGCCGTCGTGGTTGTAGCTGTAGTAGTTGTAGTGTAGTGGTAGTGTAGTGGTAGTGTAGTGTAGTGTAGTGTAGTGTGGTGAAGTGGAGTGTAGAGTAGAGTAGAGTAGAGTAGAGTAGAGTAGAGTACTGGAGTTGTAGTTGCACCTGCCTTTGTCGTTGTAGTTGTCGTGTAGTGTAGTATATAGTTGTAGTTGGAGTTGGATGTGGAGTTGGAGTTGGAGTTGTCGTGTAGTGTAGTGGTAGTTGTGGCTGCAGCTATTGCTGCTGTGGTTGTAGTTGCAGTTGTAGCTGTGGTAGTTGTAGTTGTAGTTCTTGTTGTCGCACTCGTAGCCGTAGTAGTAGCAGTTGTGGTAGTAGTAGTCGTAGTAGTAGTCGTCGTTGTTGTTGTTGTTGTTGTTGTAGCTTTAGGTGTAGTGTAGTTGTACTTGTATACTTGTAGCTGTAGTTGTAGTTGTTGTGTGGTGTAGTGCGGTGTCTTGTCATGTTGTGTGTAGTGCAGTTCAACCTCCAAACGTGGTCCGAGCATGTAGTGTTTTTACCATTTTGCCTTCGAAATGTGCTTCGCGCCACAACGGCGCGCACTTTTTCGACATCTCAACTTCAAAGAGTGCTCCGAGATCGCCAATTTTTTACACTTTTGACTTCGAAATTTGCTTCGCGCATGCTTCGCGCATGCTTCGCGCCACAACGGCCTGCACTTTTTCAACATCTGAACTTCCAAAAGTGCTCCAAACCTGGTGTGTTTTGCACATTTTGGCTTGGAAATGTGGTTCGCGCCGCAACAGAATGCACTTTTTCAGCTCAACTTCCAAAAGTGGTCTGCGACCCTCAGATTTTTGCACTTTTTTGACTTGGAAATGTGCTTCGCACCACAACCGCGTGCGCTTTTTCAACATCTCAACTTCCAAAAGTGGTCCGGCATTGTGGTATGAAACATTTGGACTTTGAAATGTGCTTCGCGCAACAGCTGCGTGCAATTTTTCATCTCTCATCTGACCAGATGGCTCCACACCGGCCGCTTTAGCGAGCCTATTTTTCGACCCTCCGGAGCCACAAAACATTGGAAAAAACACAGTGTTTTGCGATGTTTTGCGATGTTTTGCGATGTTTTGTGACTTTTCTACCTTTTCGCGCACCTGCATCTTCTTTCTTCTGACTATTTCTCTGATCTTTCTCTGACTCTTTTTATTTTTGTTTTTTATTTGTCCATATTGTTGGAAGTTTGACTTCTAAACTTCCTTCGGTCAATGAAGGTAGCAGCTACCATCCCAATACTGACACTTTGGCACACCAGCTGCTAAGAGGATCTGCATAACTTGCGCAAAGTCTTCAACCACTCAGTCAAGTAGAAGACCCGAGAGGGGGAAAAAAAACTGGGCCCCGGAAAATGGCAAGTTGTCTGGCTGGTTTGCGTTTTTTTGTTTCGGATGAGATTGCGCTTGTTTACTCTATGACACGCCACGCAAGCTGCCTTTTCCCTATGTAGGCTCGGCATGGCTCCGCCAGTAAGGACACAATAACTCTGGAGATGTTATGGGCCACACGCGTGCAGGATTGTTTGATGTTGTGTAGCGCGTCCGTGCGCGGAGATGCAAGACACCATTGAAATACCCAATATCGACCCGTATGAGCGCTCACATGCCACCGACTCACAACCAAAAAACGCAATGCCAACACCAGCAAGACACCCACAAGCAAGAGAATTGAAATAAATCACCAAAAGAACGGCTAAAATGCCACCGCAACACCAATAAAATAATTCGCAAACACAACATGACGCACATACATGCCCACCCACGCAATAAACACTGATACACCGCCGGGGTTGCACCAAGACATCACCGACATTCCACCAAGACGCCACCAAATCACGACTGACATACCACCAATACGACCCGCCGACCCAAGACACAACACACCCACAACCCACAACACAACGAAACCGGAGACAGACCGCAAATGCAGTGCCCAAACATGACGGAGACACCATCGAAACACCATGATGACACCCACGGCCCAACATGACCCACATTCTGCAATGCCAACCCAAAAGCATCCAAGACGAGCCAAGCTGAAGCCGAAACAACCAAACATGAACCCAATGTTTCTGCAAGTCAAAAATTCCACTAATGCCTCTCGCCATGCTTTGTATGAGCGCTTGTGCAGCCCCATGAAATTAGATTGATTAGAAAAAAAAGATGGATAGCATTTAAGTTTTCCTATTCCCCGCTTGCCCCTATTAGATCAGATCAGATTGTTTGAACTTCGACTAGATTGGATTTAGATTAGATTCGATTAGCTTAGATTAGATCACATTAGGCTAGACTAGACTAGCCCCATTTGCTTGGTTAAACTGAATCTAAACAGATGCCCTTCAATTAGATTCGATTAGATTTAGATTTAGAATGGTTTAGGTTAGGTTAAATTAGACTAGACTAGATTTATATTAGACTAAGTTTTGCTCTTCCCCATTTGCCTTTTCAGATAAGAGTTGGTTCATCTCTACTGAGACAGCTGCACGCAACCCACTTTCAGGTTTTCCCACTTGCCCTTCGAGCAGATTGCACTAGGCTAGAGCAGATTAGACCAAATTCGATTGTGTTTCAAGTGTTTGCCCTTATTAGATTAGATTACTTGCCCTTGGGGTAGATTGGATTAGAAATTCGATTGTGTTTCAAGTGTTTGCCCTTACTTGCCCTTGGGGTAGATTGGATTAGAATAGGTTTAGATTAGATTGGATTGGATTAGAGTAGGCCAGTCGGCTAGACTAGACTAAACCAAATTATCTGCCCTTCGGGTAGATTAGATTAGATGAAGTAGGCAGTCAGGCTAGACTAGAGATTGTTGGACTATTAGAGTATTGGATTCTCACTACTAGATATTTAGAGTACTAAATTCTTAACCTAGACTAGATGCATAATGACAAATTAGATAGATCAAATAAGTACATCAAACTATATAGATCAAGCATGATCAAGCTACTATTCTCTGCTTTTTCTCTTATTCCTGTCTTTTTGTGGGCCCGAGCTCACTTACCTTTTTTTTTGTGGGGCCCGAAAACGTGCCCTTAGCAACGTGCTCCATTTACACAATAACGCTCCTCTGCTGTAGAACCATTTGCCAACAAAACAAATATCAATTCTTACGCTATGTGCGCGCGAAAAATTGCGGCAAGGGGGCCCAACGAACACATTTTCGGGCCCCACAGGAATGGCCCTTCCTCCTGCAAATCTGATGTCCATTTTCACATGCTCTTTACCCCCGCACCCTCCCCCCCTATAGCTTCGCTTCATCAACTCCCTGCGCTTTTCCAGCACTTCCCGTCATCACCTTAAGAAGGTAAAGGAGAAAGGAAAAGAGCAATTACCTTTGCCATTACACATCGAAGAAGGAACAAGAAAGTCATCAAGGATGTATTCTGATTGAAGTGGTTTGCAATGTGTTTAAGGTTCTACATGTAAATCCTTTCATGACATTAAGGAACATTATCTAGTTAAATGTATGTGAACAAAGAGGATCAAACAGAATTTAGTAGAAACACTGCATTCCCAGAAACGTGGAAAGTGGATTAAAGTGGGGGACCTGACAGCGTGCCTTTCTGATAATATTCACTATATTATCACCGTTTTCCAATGGAACAACATGGACGCCCGAGATCTCGTTGCAGCGAGCCGCCGCAGTGGGACCCAGTTGCACCAAAGGCTCGAGCGCGTCGTGGTCGCCAAAGGCCACAGCCAGCGCCTTTTCCTCCAGGACGCCTCAGGGTATGGACGGCCCCTGCTAATGTAGCTCTGTGGCTTAGCATAAAAAACATGGTGATTTCCATAGCTGTAAGTTGCCGGAGGTTGGTTGTTTATATCATGGGAATATAGCAGAGATATACTGGGGAGAGAGAGAGAGAGAGATATATATATATATATATATATCATAATTGTCTCAAAGGGTACACCGCACAAATGGCCATTGTCGATGGGGGTACCAGATCTCCCACAACACCATGCGCTGGAGATTTCGGGACCCCTTCCTAAGTGGCACCCGGCACACGGCCCAAGCCCCGCAAAAGGTCATCCCAAAGATCAAAAAATGGAACCCCCGTACATGTGTCTAGATTGTTTCAGTTATAGCTACCCTAGGTAAACATACAAAAGATGTGGGAAACCCATGGTTTCCCTGGGAAAATGATCTGCAAATGGTGTGTGTTCCACATCTATGTTTAGTTTACTGGAGCGTACATACCCCTCTATTCCGATCCGCTGGTCAGCCCGAAAAATGTGACAGCATCCTGTAAAACCTGACAGTTGAGCGTCGGTAAAGATCGGTTCCACGCTTCATCTGTTGCACAATGCACCTGGGGCGGTAGATTCATGTGGATCCATTGATCATTAAATAGAAACCCTGGGAACCGGGAAAGGCTGGACACCTTGACAACATCATTTAAAGCATCGTGGAAATTGTTGTTTTAAAAAAGTAAATCTTTTTGGGGAACCCCCAAAAATTACCAAAATCAGTTGGTGAATTTTGCAAAAATGATGGCTGAATCATATATGAGAAGAGGGCTGGCCACTAGAACACAGCTGATGTATTAACTTATTGCAGGGCCAAACATCTCTCCATAGGTTCGCCCACCACCCCTGAAGCCAGGATATTGTGGGATCTATGGGTCAGAACTGCTGCCCAGCCACTTAAATTATCTGAAAGGGGCCATGCAACACATATTACACATCATTACGCATGATTATCACCAGTAGACTCCCTAGCTATGTTGGATTAACCAATGCCAAAGAAAGAAAATCACCTTCAGCAAATCCAAGTGCAGTATTGAACCAACTGGCTATGGGGCGCAATGGGGCACCAGTGGCCCACAAATGGCTGACCACCCCTTACCAAACAAACCATACAATCTTGCAATTTGATGCAATTTGCCCAACTCTAGGTTCTCAAATTCACATCATGGTGCGGTGAACAACTAACACAGCTTCCGACCTTCTTGGAAGCATTACTTATGAGATATGAGAGCTGTAGTATCGGTCAAAAATAGGATTTCAACGGGCCCACAAAATTGTTAATATTGAGTCTGGGGCATTCAGGAGTCCATCATTTGGAAGTCAGAAACTCTGAGTATCTCTGAATCATCCACAGGCACGCAGGTGGGCCCAAAATAAGTGCTAGAAGAGGCACACATCAGACACTTGCTCAACTTTGGGCCTGGTAGTTGTGGCAGGGGCTCCATGAAGCAACGTCCAGCGGTTGAAATTGAAGACCTCCGGTGCCACCGCTGAACCTGCGCCTTTGACACCTTAGGCCTTAGAACATGCTGACTTGGTATTGACACTGAATTACTTAAACTATCCGGACAACTCTCTAAGTGGATTTCAAACCACTCTTTATGATCTTCCCTCACTAGCCTTATGACTTTATTTCCAGCCTGAAGTGTGCATGTAGTAAGTGCATGTTTTATGCATGTTCAGAATGCATGTTGCCAAAAGATGCATGTTCAAAATGTATGTGCTGAACTGCCCTCTTCTCAAAATGCATGTGGGACAGGCACTTGGTCACACACAACACATATAGTGATAATAAACCAGGGTGAATTGATGGTTAAGTGGTTGATAATGCTTGATTGATGGCTAATCAATGGTTAATCAATGAATGGTTAAACGGTTGATAATACTTGATTAATGATTAATGGCTAATCAATGCTTAATCTATGGTTAAGTGGTTGATAATGCTTGATTGATGGCTAAAAAACATGCATTTTGGATTTGGGTGTTTTGGCCCTGGGGCCCCACACGCAAAAAACATGCATTTTGGATTTGGGTGTTTTGGCCCTGGGGCCCCACACGCAAAAAACATGCATTTTGGATTTGGGGATTCTGGAGTCAAAATTTGCAAAAAACCTCGAAAAAATGCATGTTTTTTGCATGTTGGTGGCCAAAACCCTAGCAAAATGAAGGAAACATGCAAAAAACATGCATTTTTTCGAGGTTTTTTGCAAATTTTGACTCCAGAATCCCCAAATCCAAAATGCATGTTTTTTGCGTGTGGGGCCCCAGGGCCAAAACACCCAAATCCAAAATGCATGTTTTTTGCGTGTGGGGCCACAGGGCCAAAACTATAGTAATATAGTATATAAATATAAAGATGTTGGCTCTGGATTTGTTGATCATAATATGTCATATGTGCTGTTACTCTCTGTGCAGCCTTTGCTCTTCCTTCTCTTTGACTGGTTGTAGCAAGACCCTGCTGGGGCCTTGAACTGCGCTAAATGATTCGAATGGCCTTTGCAACTAGCCCTTCAAACACAGAAGGGAACAAGTTTCCACATGCAAAAAAACATGCATTTCCAACATGCACAAATCACCCCCCTGAAACTACATGCATTTCCAGCATGCAAAGGACGTGCATTCCAGTATATTCTGGATACAGTCCCTTTAGGCTAAGAAAAAGTCATAACACTAGCCATGTGGCCATCATGTTTGGGGCCGAAACATATCAAGTCGCTAGACTTCAGCACGACACAACATGACTAGACGCCTTGCAGTGTCAGTCGGCCATCTGCTATCATAGAAATGGTTGTCTCAAACTGGGACACCCCAAAATGGCCTTATTAACATGTTGGTTTAAACCATGCAATTTGATCCAAATTGAAGGTAACTCACCTATTTCGGACAAACCAGGTAATTAGTTGTGACATCACCCCTTGTTTCGGGTGTCGCTGCATATCATCGCCGAGGTTTGATTACACAACAAAGCAGCGAGGGTTTGGGGCTGTGAGTGACCAATTCATTCTTGACGTTGGTGACCCAAGCAGGTGTAGCTTCTGTAGTGTCAAACAGTTCATCATGGGTCTGTCCAACACCCAAACTTATGGCCTACAGTACTCCATGAAATTCATCTCGCTTATTTTGTTCAAGAAAATCGAAAGAATTTCAGGAATTTCGAATTAAAAACCATCATTCTTCCAGCCCTGCAAACACCAACAAAAATAGGTTCACTCCCCCCCAGCCTCGCGCGTTGCATTCAAATAATGCCAGTTCTCTTCAACTGCATGACCGTGATGGATAAGCAATGCCTTCAGCTGCAACGGTTTGCCAGCCAGCTATACAAAGCAAAGCGCTCTAGTGACTAGGACAGTACACAGTACCAGTTGGTGAAATGATGTTAGAATACAAAACTTGGTTCATGTGGGTATTCATTAGGGATATCTATTGTATCATCCCCAATGGTTACAATCATTATTCAGCATCGCCAAACAAAAAGTGTTAGACAAATCATGTAACCTAGAGCATTTCAATGTATTTGACTGAAACTGTCCTGACCAATAAATAGGACATTGAACCAATGAGCACATCGTCACACCTGGATTAGCATAGAGGTGTGCAAGGAGCCTCTCTTTTGTCTCTTTGAACAGGCATATATATATATATACATCTATCTATCTATCTACCTATCTATCTATCTATATCTATTCAAATCTATTCTAATCTATTCAGATCTATCTATATATCTATCTTATCTAATTTTTCTATCTTGTCTTATCTTATCTTATCTTATATTATCCTATCCTATCCTATCCTATCCATCTATCTATCTATCTATCTATCTACCTACCTACCTACCTATCTATCTATCTGACTATCTATCTATCTATCTATCCATCCATCCATCCATCTATCTAATCTATCTATCTATCTATCTATCTATCTATCTATCTATCTATCTATCTATCTATCTTATCTATCTTATCTTATCTTATCTTATCTTATCTTTTCTTATCTTATCTATCAATCTAATATATTTTTTATTTCTTTCTTATCTATCTATATACCTTCGTATTTCACAATGTATATCTATATATGCATTAGTAAATGTATTCGCGTATGCATGTATGAACGTATTGAAGCACTCATGTATTTATCAATGTGTGAATGTGTTAATGTACTAATGTATTAACGTATGAATGAAAGAGTGGGTGAGTGAATGAATGAATGGATGAATGAATGAACGAACGAACGAATGAATATTTGACACAGAGCATGCAGCGGACCTTTTTCTACCGTTTTATGAGCCTCATGGCTTAGGGGAATCCATTGATGGCAGAGCTTCTTCTCGCACACCTTGGCTGCAATGGCCCGCAGGTTGCCCCTTTCATCATTGGTGGCTTTGCCAGCAAGCCGATGTTTTCCAGCGACGAACATTATTGCCGGACTGGCAGCTTCTGCTTCGACAGAACGGACGCCATCGGCTTGAATGCTACGCACCAGAACGGCCAGCCCTTGGCTACGGTCGGTCCTGGCCTTCTTCCAAGCCTCCGCCACGGCCCGTCAGGCCTCGCCCAATGCCGCATCATAGCTCAGAAAGAATTCACGTTCCACGAAACTTAGTGCAAATAATGTTTCATCACCGTACCTTCCATACCTGCATGATCGTCATTCATTCATGAGTGAATGAAATCATGAATGCATGAATGCAAGAATGCATGCATGTTTATATGTATGTTTGTATGTATGTACGTATGTATGGATGTACGTATGTATGCACGGATGGATGGATGGATGGATGGATGGATGGATGGATGGATGTATGGTTCTATGGGTGTATGGATGTATGGTTCTATGGGTGTATGGATGTATGGATGGATGGAAAGACGTATGGATGTATGTATAGATGTATGGATGTTTGCATGTATTGATGTATGGATGTACGTATGTACGTGTGTACGTATGTATGGATGTATGGAAAGATGTATGTATGGCTGTATGGATGTATGGTTGTATGGTTGTATGTATGTATGTATGTATGTATATCCAATAGGAGGGTTTGAGTCATTTCAAGCAAAATATCAGCCACGATCAGCCACGTGGGGTCATCCTCCCAAGTGTTAGATGGAAAATGAAAGTCTGATGATGTGCCCCCCAAATTAGGCGATACATGTTGATGCAGTCCATCTTACCTATATTGGCTGCTTAAATCACGTTCTTGGTTTTCATAAGAGGCCAGGCAAAAACAAAAATGCGGATATTAGTGTTTTCTCTCTCTCCATCGCCTTCTCAAGGAGTTCAGCAGAGCTGAAGGCGAGTAAGATACAACTCCGCTAAGCGGAAAATGAGCAGCAACCATGCTGGTGCACAAGCTGCTTCATTTCCCTCATCCACTTTTATATAACATTCTATATCCCTAATTATCTTCCCCTGTCGTATCATCTATCTGATGACCTCGGGCCTCTTCGACGATCATCGAGGCCAATCTTGCCAATTGCTCTGCCAAGTCCATGGCATAGACTGGCACAGTGCTGTTGACCAAAAGAGGTAGACCTCAGCTGCGCAGGTAGCTATGAAAAATCAGGTAAAGCCAGTAAAACCCCTATTCCATTGTCATTGTGTTTTTCATCACTACTGTAATATGTGTTTGTCACCGTATGGCCAAATATCATATCTCTATACACATCCTGGGGTTTCTTCTAGAACAAACAGTGCTACAATCCTGTAGGTATGATATTCCCGCATCAGCAGCTCAAAAAATAGGCCAGCGACCCACCCACACCAAGATTCCATCAGAAACTGCAACAAGTGGGATGTACTATGGACTCATGTTGCCAACGTCAATGGGAATATCACCACAATTCAAAAATTGAGCCTTAGCGATTCAACCAACAACAATAAGTGGATATCGTAGCAAAAAAAATATTGGTGATATCAAAAAAAACGCGAAACGGCAAAAACAACACAGATCACGATGAGAACCAACCAGCAAAGCAAAGATGGGAATACTTTACCAACAAAATGGGACGCTGACTGATCTTTAAAAAATGATGGTCGAAAGCATCCCCCATCTGAAAAGGACCCTGGCTTCAGTGGGACCCAGCAACAAAGCTCATCAAAGTTCGTTAAAGACTGATGAACGATCGAGAACAACAACTAATCATGGCTGATTAACATTCCGCATCTTGGGTCTTTGGGGGGTTGGATCCCTATGATGTGTACCTTTCGGTCGTTAACATCGCCAGGATCGACAAAACCATTGTTTCCTAAGTTTCAAGTACCCATCCAAATGGGTCACTTTATTGCTGAATCCAACCAAAAAGCAGATGGTGAAGTTGGATCTTCAGATTGATCCAGCTGTGTTGTGGATTTTTTTCCCTAGGAATACAGGCATTATCTAGTCTTGCCTTCTCAGTCAAGTTTTGCTACAATGTCAACCCCGCATGAATAAACTATGGTTGAATAAAAAATGTGTGCTCAAAAAAAAATATCACCAAATGATACCTCCCCAATTCTTCACAACAGAGAGCTAAAATAAAAATCCAGGTTCTACATCGTTTTGTGGGTACATCATATGAGATTGTACTAACTGGTTCAATGGCCAGGGGATTCCTATATATAATCCATCGTCCACATTGTCCAAGTAGATTTCCCTCCAGCAAACTAACATGGATGTGGAAAAGCCACGATTCGTAGATCATTTTGCTAGGGAACAAATCATTGGTTTTCCGCATCTTTGTTAGTTTACCCTAGGGTAACCCCACCATATCCCCACCATTTTAATAGTTCCCTTCCCCCAATCCTGCTTGGGTCCCAGTGTTTAACTCAGGGTACAGCAACCGCCAAGTTTCACTCTTCCATCACCAGCTCCAGCTCGTGTAGCAGCTTGTGGCTTAAGAGCTCGACCCGTTCAAGTGTCACCTGCCGGGTCGATTTGGGCTACCCCTCTGCGGCAGGTTCCAAGGCAAAGAGATATGGGAATCTGATAATTATCATGGGTTTTCTTGGAAAATGATTTGCAAATGATGCATTAACCCTATCTATCTTAATTTACTGGAGGTAAGCAATGTTTTTTCGACTGGAGCACTGGATGTGAATCTCTGCCTGGTTTAAGCAAATCTCACTACAATCTGATACATTCCAAATTCTAAATGCGTTTTAATACCATACATCTTTGACCCCCCAACATGATTGCATATCTTCGGAGTAAAAGCGATTGAAACCAAATGGTTAACCGTAGACTGCAAGCATTAATGAATATCAATGCTCCGAACAGAATGAGCGACGCTGGAGCACCCCATGATCTCCAAATGGCCTTTGCCATCAATTCATGCTGCAAAATAATGTTAACCCAGAAATGGAAAAAACACACCCAATTTGAATACAGAGTCTCACCCAAAAATCCGTGGAAAAAACAATCATCTTGTATGGGTACACCCCCTATCCAACAGAATTATATATCCATCCCTATAGTTGACAATGAACACCAAAAACATGTGTTTCCGAAAAACGACAATGACGCCACTGTGGATGATGCATCTCTGGGTGCCTGGTCCAAAGACCTAATCGGGAACATCAGCACAAGTAGGGATGCGCAAAAATGACGACAATACTTATCCCAGTTTCAAATCCATTTGTTTATTTTTTGGCATGCGCGCGCATGCAAAATAATTTTATGGGCATGTACAATGTCAAATACCCAATTAATATCTATATATTATATAAACTTTTGAATGTATATGCGTAGGGTACATAGGAGAACTCTGTGTCAACAAATTTGCGAGATGTAAACCCCAAAAACTATGTAATACCAAGTCCCAAAAACATGGAAAAATAAAATGCAATTAAAACACTGGTCATTGACGTTTTTCTAGTTGCTATACATATGTAAAACCGTTACATATGAAGTTACATGTTTTTTGTTGCACCAAACATGTTTAAGTTCACAAGTTTCTCAAAATTAAGAGGTTCCTGAAAACGATGGGTTTCAAACTAGAAAGGTCTGATTTTGCATTGGGGTACCCATGACAGAAACCCAGGCCTCGGAGATGCTTTCCAGGTGAATTCCCTCGTCCAGTTCTGATTCCAAGGTGTTCCAAATCCTCGGCCGAAGGCAGCTGGAGCCTCTGGATGTGCATTCCAGTGGTGGTACATGTTTTTCTTTAAATGTCTATATATATATAATTAAATATTTATACATATGTGTGTGTATGTAAATCCATATATCTCTATATATATATATAAATATCTTTGTGTATGCTTAAATCTACATGCATACCAAAAGTACACCTATAATATACCGATCAGCCATATGACCGAAATATTTAATGATATATGTAAAACTTGGTTTGTACAAGGTTTAAGCCATGTTAACCCCTTACTGGGATGCACCCCCGATGTGATTGTCCAAAATGTGATCATCACCATCACCATCACCATCACCATCATCATCACCATCACCATCATCATCATCATCCCCATCACCATCACTCATGGCTGGCTACACCAGGTTACACCTGGCTTCATTCTCCGGAAAGCAACAACAAAACAACCTGGCCCGCCCGATGTGCCAAGGATCTCAGCCGCTTTTAATAGGTGGTCCACCACTTCCCTCAGCTTGGAGCGTGATCCGCTTACCAAAAAAAACGTTGTGAGGATGCCATTACCAAGTGCACACTGTTTAAATCTGCTTAATGTCTTTGATCGTTGTCGTTTGAACAAGCTTTTGCAGTGTGGCGCCACTGTTGGGAGGGATGGCGGTTGAGACACACATCGAAAATCATCAGCCGCTTGGCAACTTGGGAGAAGCATTTCCAGGTGGGATGGTCATTGAAGAATGCCCAGTAAAATGTAAAGCCACCAGCCACAAGCAAGGACTTAAATGACATGTGCCCACACATTTTCAGATGCACAGACACACACATATATATATACATTACCTTTGTATATACGTGTAAGAAAAGAACAAAGATAAATAAATAGATGTACGTTGAAAAAACACACATATATATATACATACATATTTATACGCACGGAAACTCAATGAAAATTAACATATATATATATATATATAGGTATGTATTGCACACATGCATGTGTAAGAATTACATATACATAAATATATATATATATATAGATATTTATTGTTTATTGTTCAAGAACCTCTTTGTCCCAAGGAAAAATAAAATCATGTGAAGCCCACGAAGCCCTATCCCCATGCATATGTAGCGGCGGAGTGGGTGGCGGAGGAATACCCAAAATCTTGCTCCCTTCAATGAGGCGCCGAAGGTTCCTGGGAGCGTTGCAATCCCATCCCCGCCTAGCCTTGGAAACTAAGGTGTCTGTAAAGTAAATCATCTACAAATGGGCAATTTTCCAACGCTATATTAGATTTCCGGAAGGTGATATCAATTACCTCCAATCAGGCGTATACCCTCAAAAATGGATGGATCCAATTCTTAATCTTAATATATCTTAATCAAGGTTTCCAAGGAATGCGTTTTGATTCTGGGGGAAGGGAGTAATAATTATCGAATGGGGTAGGTTGGGAGAATGATGGATTTTTGCAAGCCATAGCAAACCCAAAAAAGATAGAAAAGTCATGTGCCACTATTTTAGTAGGGTTTGACTTTTTTATCTTTTCGGGGGTTGCTATATCAAATATGATTTACTTAGGACTTGGGAGTACTTTGGGAACATGACAGCAAGTTTCCAGCGACGATCAGTCCACTTGGAAACGAGTCAGCAACGGGGTTCCAATTGAGCAGAACTGGGACATTCAATGGCTATACTGTATATGCCGCCACACCCAAACTACTACGCATATTTGCTGCTTGAATACCCTGAAATTCTTGCTTGAATCCCTACGTATGTGTTTGTGTAGGCCTTTTCATATCGTTGGTCAAATTCACATCTCCCCTGGTTGAATCCCCATCATTGTTGCTCAAATCTACATAGATAATAAACATCTGCCAGGCCGGGCTACTGTGAGAAATACAAACTTATACTAAGTACATACCATCACCATGAATCGCTCCCTCCCCTACTGTCCAAGCTGCAAGGTCGCTTCTGACTTCAGAACCGTAATTTCCACCTAGTTCCCAGCCCCTTGGAAACAATGATTGGGGTGTGGGGACAAGCTGTATCCCCTGAAATAACTGAAGCCACTAACCAGTCTCAAATGTGAATTTAGGCATGTTTAGACCACATATCTGTGGAGATACCTGTCGATCATCAAGGGAGGGGACACTTGCCTCAAACTACGACTTTCCCTGGGGCCAAAGAGGTCATCTATTTGGTCATGGTTTATCCACCGCTGGTTGAGAGGTTTATCCACCGCTGGTTGAGATGTCCCATGCTGGTGAAACAAGAGGTGGATCTTCACATCCCATGACAATGATAATATCGGACCCCAATATCGGATGACTCCCATGTTGCTTTTGTTGGTCATACCATTGCCTTTTTGCTTGAATCATGTTTCATCATTTTTTTTGGGCAAGTAAAGGCGCAATTTTCGATGGTGCAACGTGTCGGCTCCCAGCCTGGCTGGTCTTTATATCGACTTTCATTGCAACCTGCACAAAATATTGGGTGGCCTGGCAGCATGGACTGGCTAAAGATGGTGTGTTCCAGCCAATGGATCGACTGAAGGGAAAATCTGCAGGTTTTCAAGAGGCATGTGTCATCATGTGTCTTCTAAACAACGGGGTCCTAAAGAAATAAGCAAACGGAGTGGTTTCCAACCCTCAAAAACTGCTAGGTTATTTACAGGACCAGAATGAGTTACAAATGCTAAAACAGCGCAAGTGGAAGCAAGTACAAAAAATGCCAACGCGCATGCACATTTGTATAAATATGTCCAAATATATATATATATATATATATTTGCACATCAGTGCTTACGGATTTTTAATTTACCAGTATCTTTGTTAGTAAGATTGTAAATCTGAATCTGATGTCCCTCATGTTTGCATCATGGTTTGGATATTGATTACCCAAAATTTCTGGATTGCAAGAGCATGCCAGGGTGGGCACTTGCTCAGAACAAAAAAACGAGAAAATATCTTCAAACAAAGGTGAAACAACAAACAAATAACAAGGCGATTATCCCATTCATAACTCATAAGCATCCAAAATCTTATGTTACATCCTTTTACATTCTACATTTTGCATCCCTGTCCGAATTACAAGGGGGGTGCACGAACCCACTTTCTATAGAGAATGACGGTTTGCTAGAAAATGCCTGGATATGTTATGTTTAAAAAACAACTTCTAGAACATGCAAAAACATTTTTTTGAAGGGGGTGGTACTCGGCCCCATGGGGGAACACATTTTCTAGACAGGCAAAATTCTCGAACATTTTTTTGGGGATCAAAAAAAGCGAGAAGATGACATATTTAAAGAAAACAACTCGAACATTTCTGGCCATTTTTTCTCTAGTAAATGCCACGAAATTTAGGAGACAGAAAGCATGTCTAGATAATGGGTGGGATTATGTTCAGAAATTTATCTCTAAAAAACGCTTGTAAAACATAGGACATAGGAGACAGGACTACATTTCTAGAAAATCAGATTTTTGACCAGTGTTTTCTAGAAAAAAATGTTTTTTTTCCTAGAAAATGGCTGAGCGCTAGAAAATGGAATCTGATTCAACATGATGGATACTATTCTAAAACATGATGTAGTGTATATTGTCACTTGGAGAAGGTTGTAGTGTTCTTGTCAGATGTATACTTTCCCAGAGGTAATTCGGACGGGGATCATTTTGCAGGAATCATTGTGGTCACTTCCATATCCCAATTTTTTTGGGGTTGTTATTTCAGCATATTTCCCCATTTTCCCCAATGTGAACCCAGTGAACCGACCTGTTGGGTCCAGAGCTGTTGGTGAGCGAAGGTGGTGAGGAATTCGCTCCACTCAGCTTCCGTCATGGAGCTGACAGGGTCGCAATTGCCGCTGTCGTGACCATACAGGTCCACCTAGCGAAGGAAGGGCAGCCAGGGGCAAAGTTGTGATGTGTAAATGAATTCAGGATATGTGGGTGTGCCTCAAAATGTGGAGGGTAGCCTTGATATATGGCATTTTGTATAATTGAGGTGATAATAATATGTTAGGATAATATGAAGTGGACTTTGGGATTTTGAGTTTTGAGACAGCCTGACATGGGCGATGTAAGCAGCAAACCACGATGAACAATGAGGATTTTATTAAGCAACCAAAAGCAAGATTTGTTCACCCAAGACTTGGATTTAAACAAGCACCAAAACTGTTGAAAAAACTTGAAGCAACCAGGCATGCACAACAAAAGTTTGATTGTCTGATCCCTTCATGAAGTGCTAGTGGGCATGACTCATTTAAATTTCGCATCAATAAAGCAATGTGGTCATCTGCATTTTATAACTGCAAACCTAATAAACTCAGATGGCCGGATGACCATTCCCCTTGGCAAAGGTTTCCAGCCCATGGGTCTAATCAAATAGTAGGTCCCATGGAAGTTGCCATGTATGATTTACCAAAGGAAGTTTAATTAGAAAACTTCTGAGTTACGAACGCTTGTCAGGGTCAGCATTTCGACCTGTCAACCACATCACCATGTCAACCACCCATCATCAAGTAGTTGGGGGGTGTAACAGCTCGGAATCATGTGAATTCAGGGGTGAAGGCGGCGTGAAACCCTGTGTTTTTTGGGTAAAAAGGCTTCGGGGATTCCGTGGTCGCCGAAGGAGGGTCTCTGTTTCCGCGGGTTCGGGCCTCGATCTGCAAAAGTTGTCGACAAAAAGTGCACAGGACTGTAGCGAAAGCTCGATTTGCATTTCGTCACTTCAAAATGTTCAAAAGCTGTCACGTTTAGATCACTTTTGGAAGATGAGGTCTGCAAAATGCGCACGAGACTGTAGAGAGAGCTCGGTTAGCACTTCAAAACGTTAAAAAACTGGCATGCCCAGAGCACTTCTGGAAGATGACATCGTCAAAATGTGCACGATACTGTAGCCAGAGCTCGATTTCATATAAGAATTGCAAAAACCGGCATGCTCGGAGCACTTGTTCCAAAGATGGGGCCGGCAAATACAAAAATGATCGGATCGGAACACTTTTGGAAGACAAGATGTGCACCAGACTGTAGCGAGAGCAACATTTGCATTCAACGAATTTCCTTTTAATTGAATCATTCATGCACTGATTCACTGGTTCATTGTTTCACTGAATCATCGGTTCATTGGTTCATTGATTCACTGAACCATCGATTCATTGGTTCATTGATTCATTTTTGTTGATTCATTATTGGTACGTTGCTTCACTGATTCATTGGTTCATTGATTCATCGATTCGTTGTTTCACTGGTTGCTTGGTTCATTGAGTCATTGCTTCGTTGCTTCATTGATTCATGGACTCACGCATTCATTGATTCATTGGTTCATCAATTCGTTGGTTCATTGGTTCAATCATTCAGCTGCGCACTTGTGGACGGATTCTTTCATGTCATTTCATTGGCATCTCAGCGACCGTGTGCTCATTCGTTGATGCACCGCACAACTTCAACACTTCATGGCATCTGCATCGCAAAAACTTTCCTATAATGTTCTACCCTGATTAGTAGCTGGGTTTTCGCTAGTGTGGCCAAAAATCTCCAAATTATTCTGAACCCATGTAAAGGGGAGGAAGGTTCACTATTGTAGCAGGAGCTCTTGGTATCCTATTTATGTGCGTGAAAAAATCTTGACACTTTTTCTGGAAAAAATCTTGCTTGCCTGCCTTTCTTCAATAGAATAAGATCGCTTATTAAACCCTTATTAAAGAACAGCTGCTCCACAAATTTCAAAGGCACTGGGCCATGAGAGGGTCCAATTCACTTTGGTAGGGTTGTTCCCAGGGCTCACATTTGCAGCAAACTTTTCCATAGCTGATCCTGGAGCCAAGAGAAGAAAGGAAGGCCTTTTCCAAAAGCAATTGCCAAGTTCAAAGCGCAAGCCTTTCCCAAACGAATCAGATATCTTTCTCTTTTCCTTTTTCTTTCTCTTTCCTCTTCCTGTCCCTTTCCGCTTCCTCGTCCTCTTCCTTCTCTCTCTCTCTCTCTTTCTCTTTCTCTCTTTCCCTTTCTCTTTTTCTTTCCCTTATTACTGTGCACCTTTAGTAATTACACCTTTAGTGAAAAACTTAAGGTGGAAATGGTAACGCAGTCAACATGCTGGACTTTATTCACTACACGTATTACAAGTACTGCAAATATCACAAGTTTAAAAATCGCCTTTTTTCCGGGGAGCAGCTTTTTGACACTCAACTTTAAAGAGGATATAGCATTTGTTTGAGGGGGGGCCACACACAAATGAGGCCCGAAGATTAGGCCATTGATTTCCTATAATCGCGTTCTATGTTTGAAACTTCCGCCCCGGCTCGGGCCGGGCACTACCTGGTATGAAATACAAGATCTTGGGTGCCAATTTCCCTTCATTTTGAGGCAAACCCATTGGCAATGTTCCATGTAGGTATGCAACTGGAATGAAATGACTGCATTTACTGTCCCATGAACAGCTGGAAGAAAGCATTTTCAGGCTATAGTTTACAATGGCATACAATGGCATTTCCTCGTACAGAATACAACAAGAATTGCTTATCCAATTAAATTTGATGATAAAACTCTTTTTCTATCGTGCTTTGCACTACCATATTCACCTACCCATAGATTTCTGGGACAAATGTCTGGCACAGTATCCCCGCCAAAACGGAGCGGAACATCATGTCCAACGCAGCCAATAGTTTTGGGGCACCGCTTTCCAAACAACCACATGTCCCATCATATCCCCAAAGGTCCACGTAAATGATTGGTTTTATGTACCCAAAGAAAAATCTTAACAAAACATCCCATGAAATAGCCCATCGAACATATAACCATTTTTGGTTGGTTATATCCCACCATTTTCGGACAATACCATGCACAGGGTTTCTCCAAGCTATTGGAGCTATTCGATAGCCACAAGTGATTTGGGGAATTTACAGTTTTACTGATTGATTCACCCTATCTACCCTATTTGTACCTAGGGTGTTGGGAGCAAGTTTGATACAAACACCCTGGCACGCTTCTATTCACACCAAAAATAGCTGGCAAATCGATGTTCATCCCCCTCAAACATAATTCTGATCCATTCCCATATCACCAAGTGTTTGGTTTATATCATTATATCACTCAACACATCATCCCCATGACCCATGATGTCTTCATTTTTGTTGGTTGAGTCCGTATTTTTTTGTTAAATTCCAACTGCAGCCCTAGGATGGGTAGAAACCATAACACTAATAACATATTATCTCCTGAAAGATCCTCATCGACATTGCAGTGATCCCCAAACAGATGGTAAATGTTCAATATATATATACAGTATGTATATTTATATATATCATTGTGTTTCAGTTGGGTTTCACTTGTTCTATTGTTTGGTTATAACATCATTACCATGGAAAATTAATGTGATTAGAATGACACTACATAGATCATGAGGTGACATATGGTAATTTATTGTCTTTGGTGAATATTGGGTTCTTACATCATTAAATCAATGAAGATGGGCAATACATGTGGTTACAAGGACATCAAAACGCATGACACTAATAGATGGCTATCTAAATAACATTATTATACACTAATAGAAGGCATGTTTAGGACAAAAATAGGTTATTATATGAAAACAACATTTGAAAACACGGTCACCATCCCCAACTTTTCTTGTGCTATTTAGCGCCAATGAAGAATTCATGAGGAATGACATTATCACATCATAGCCATTGCTTTACATTATTCCCTCTCTAGCCAATTGCTAGTAAACTAGCATATGATTACATATAGCACAATGATACTAATGGATGATTATAGCAATAACTATTTCATATTATGGCACTTTGTTTTCCAGCACGCAGTACATGTTGACACTATCTCATGCTTTTTTAATATCCATTTATTTCATGTTATTTCCATATAGTACATTGCTCTCCGTTATAGCCGTTATAGCCATGTTTGGTAACCTCTGGTAAACAAACATAGCTATTGAAAATTGCCATTTTTAGTTGATTTACCCATTAAGAAAGGTGATTTTCCATAGTTATGTAAACGTTTACCAGAGGGTAACCTTTCCCAGCAAAACCCACGGCATGGCCATAGCCGCTACGCCATGGCACGGCTTCCACCATGGCGACGTACAGGGGATCCACAAGCTCCACCACCTCCTCGGCCACGGCGTCGGCCGCAGCTTGACCTGGGCCCCATGGGAAAATCAGGGGGGATTTCTTCGGCATTTTTGGGGGATGGTGATTTTGGGGGATTTTGGGGTATCATCAACTGGGATGAGATTGGAAAAATGGTGATTTTGGGTATCATCAACTGTGATTTTTCACATGATTTAAGCATATTTAAGCATCAAAGATGTGGATGAAACTGCCCAAATCTCTAGAAGAGCCAGGAAATCTTTTGGAATACATCCCAAATTGGCATACAAAAAATCTGGCTTACTTGCATGCGATGCTTTTGAGAAAATACTTGGTATTTAGCTAATTCGAGATTGGATATATTGTATCTGATTGGTGTATGCAGATTTATGGAGCCCAGGCACAACTCACTTAAGCCATCTAGTTGGCATGCAAGACAACCAGCAGCTTTACTTCTAGATACAATGGTCACAAGCTTCCAAACCTGGGCAAATGATAGTGGATCCTATTCAACCCATCTAATTCGTGCAAAAGTTGACAAATCCCAAATCAGCTCTTGTTGGAATGATTTACCTTACGATCATTTACGGCAAGGCGGCTGTTGAGATTGCCAGAACTTAAGGTTGCAAGGCAGTTTGCATGGGTTACGCCAGGACTACTGTTTCGACAATGAAAAAGAGGGGCATGGTGGTCCGGCCGTGCGTATGAATTTACAGTATATACATATATATATATATATAAGTATGTATATATATATAAGTATGTATATATATATATATATATAAATTACAAGTCTATTTCATACGGGTACTTAAATAAATATATATATAGATATATATTACATAATTTATGCGCATATATACATATTTTTATAAAACTGTATAATATGCATTCGGTCTGTGCTTATTTTTTGGTATGTACACGCCCCTGGACATCAAGTCACTCTTATCTTGGAAACTCCATCCTCCACGTTTATGAGTCAAGTTCTGCAGTCCTCTTGGGTAAACATGAGCAAATTGTGGGTTTTCTGTAGGCCATACTGATCAGGTGACCACTGGTTGTGATATGAGTCACGGTTTAGGGAATGCAGCTGTTCTTTTTTGATTTTTGACACGTTTGTGGACACAGGCGCCTGGTAATTACTTTTATATGGTTCATGTCCAACCTCCAAGGCCGCAGGGTTGTTAGTACCCAGATGCTTTTGGAGGGCGTGTCCGCATTGCTAACGCCGTTGAGAAGTGGTCTGAGCTTTGCGTAGAAATAACTCACCTGATTACTGGTCCAGCTGGGGGAGTGGTGGGCAAATTGGGGACCTGATCCCAAAGTCCCACTTGGAACTTGTTTGCTTTCTGCCAAAAAAAAGGGCCCCTGCAAGTCCCACGTGCTATCTTACCAGTGGGGAAACAAGAAATCGCCCATTCAGCAAATCTACTATCATCATCCTAAGGGAGCATGGGAACATCCAAGTATACCTTCTCAAGACTGGTAGGTTCTGATCAACCACGCTCGCAGTATTCCATCATCACCTTCCACTAGTTGGTTGACATTGGGATTCCCAGTTTATGGCTTCCAGCCAGTGTTACTCAACATCATCCCCATCCATTTGATGTGCATGATGATATACAAGTATAGTGAAACGAATCACAGTGAAACCATGAAACCGTCATAGTATAAGATGTATAAGTTATAAGTATAAGCCTAGTATAAGCCTAGTATAAGCCACTCCCTACACATCACCAAAGGTCCGCTGGACATGGCCGGTCGTCCCCCGCAGGCCTCGCTCATCTGGTGGATGGTGCATAACTTGTCTAGTACTGGGAGTCCAGCGAAAGGGACTCCTCGCAAAGGTTGGTGAGTGGCTGCTGGGGGTGGGCATGGGGCCCAGATTGGAACAAATGGAAGCAATCAAAAAGTGGAGGTTCGACCAATGGAAACTTGGGGTTTAAGCATCAAAACTCATGGATATCACGAAATGAATTTTGTGATGGACCCCGCATTTGGTCCATTCACAAGCCTGATTGCCCTAGCTCCAAGATGTTACAAATGAACCTATCACTTACGTTCATTTACTTCGCATGATGATCCACCAAATACAAAAGCCCAGTTAGCTATCTGTTCCTGGCCCTACGATAAGTTATATATTTGGCATCATAGCTAGGTAAGTGGGAAAAAATCTGCCGAATTGCTGAAATAGCGAGGATGTGAAGCAAACCTCTGCATTGATCAACACCAAATTATCATATGGGATTCTTGAACCCACAAGAATATGTGTAGTATATACTGAGCGATTTTGAGAACATCATTTTGTTGTTGATCTAGTGGTGTGTAAGAACTATCATCGAATCCTAAAAGTCTATCCCAGTGGTTTGTTACATCCAAAAATACAAGCACGATGTTGTCATTGTTTCTTTGCTACATCTTTTGGGTTTGTAAATAAATATATATATATATATATGTATGTAAATACATCCCTCTTGTTTACCTTACTTTGTTCCATTCATAAATCGAAAGCAACTGGATTACCCTCTGGTGATCTAACAAAGATATGCAAAACCTGCGATCATTCCCCTTGCGGAACCAGGTTTTTATTCCATCCCGCTTCGTTAATAAAATCCTTATCATGCATATGTGAAATAAATATGTATATATATATATATAAATTATATAAATAAATATTTAAATATGTATATATATAAATGTAAATATAAATATATATATATATGTATTTATTTATTTATTTAAATATACATATCTATGTAAATATATTTAAATATGTCTATGCAAATATACATATATAGATATATATAAATATGTGTATATATATATGTATGTATATATATATAAAAATATGTATATATAGAAAATATATGTATATATATATATATGTGTATATATATATATGTATATATATATGTGTGTATATATATATATAATTGTTTTTGCTTGGGGAACCACGGGAAACAATGGGGTTTCCTTGGAAAACTGGCGGGTAACAGAAACTCTCCAGTTGTTCAACCGCTCAACCCTCCTTCGATGATTCCGTGGTGTGACTCTTCAAAGAGGATCCTGTGGCAAAGCCGGACATGGGAAAAACGGGGCGAGAAGAAAAGAACCTCACTGTGGATGTATGGATACAACATGTGCATATACGGAGGTTTCCTAAGTCCTGGGGGTACTCCCAAATCATCCAAAATTAGACCATTTTAGTATTGAAACATATTGAAACCCATGGTTTAAGGGATCCCCCATGTCAAGACACTCCAATGTATAGATAGATATATATATATATATATATATAGGTATAGGATCTTGGTATCTGAGAATCTTGCTATAATCTAGAGGATTCGAATATCGCTGAGGATCTTGGTGTCTTGAAAGGCCACCATATTCTTTGACATGGCCACGTTCTGTGCCAGTAACAGCACGCCCTCGGCCAAGCGTTGAATCAGAGTCCGCTGGCGCCCAGCAATGTTTTGGACCAGGCCATTTGTGGTGGCGCCGAACCTTAGAGCAAGCCGGGACATCCCATGGAGTGTTGAATTGGAAAATCCTCTATAAATTGAATTAATAGGAACATGACACAAAAATGGGGTTTGACTGGGAAAGTCATGGGAAGACATGGAACACTTCTCCATCAATGGAAGTTTATAGCTGGGACAAGCCTTATAAATGGATGATTTTCCATTGCCATGTTTGATTACCGGAGGGCAAATACCGTTTTACCATAGGTTACCAAAAAATGATAGAACATGGCGCCAAAGTGGGAAGTATATGGGAAGTTTACCATCAACAATTGGGTTTTGAATTGGTTTGACAATCATGTGATGAACACACGTAGCCAATAATACCACCAAGTTTTGGGAACCAAGAATATCCTAGATGTCTCCATTGCCAAATTGGACATGGGCTAGCACTAGCTGTAAAGTCATTGGGATGAACACCAATCCAGGAGTTAATGTGGTAAACCCAATGATAAATCATTCCATTACCCAACCATTTGGGGTCATTTTGCATCATTCCAATAAGGGCTAATATCCAATGACAAAACTCTATTAGGGATGGTTAAGAAAATTGGGTTTACACATCATGAATGTTGTAAGGGTCACTGACCTTCAATCTAGGATGTTCACCCAGGAGCTACACTGACTGGCATGTAATGATGACCTACCCATGGGGAAAACGATGCCTCACATGGCTTTCCATCCCATCTTGCTGAGGAATGGATCCGAAGCTTATCTCAAAGAAAAACCTACAGGAAAATATAGAGGGTAACTAGAATCCAACAAATCTGGATTAATTTCACCAGATGAAACTTCAAATCCTTCAAACATTATCAGAAAATAATAGGGATTTAATCTATTTTAAGTAGCAAATTTATCCAAACTTAACCAATCTTTATCCGAATTTAATCCAATTTTAAATTTCCTTGACTTCTGCCCAGCGGAGCTGTTTGATTTCCTGCGTTTCCTGTATTGCCACCAAAAATGCGTGCCTTTACCCCAAAAGGGACAATTTTTTACAAGTGATTTATCAGGACTTTAAGTAAAAAAAATATCCCTTGTTTGTTTCCTGGATATGTTCTCTTTGATTATCACAAAGAAGCAGTCTGTGACACCGTTGCGCCATGACGGTGAATTTGGTGGTAGCTGCTAGAATTAGGATGGACTATATGCTTATGATCGAACATTGCTGAACAACATGGTCATGCAAAAGAGCACAACATGCATCAATCAACGGTACAAACCGAAGTTTGTTGAAGACTCCCGGTTAAAGTAAAGAACCACCATAAAAAGAGTGACTAAATTGGCTTAGCTTCCTATCCATCCATGGATCGATCTTTTTTGGTGCCTATCTGTGGATTATTCCCGGCTGGAGAGGGCTGGGGTTCGCAAGCCCTTGACTAGGTGCCCTTGAGCCCCGTTCAACTGGGAGAATCTTCTCAATTCTTTGGTGAAGAAAGAATCTACAGCAACCACCAAGTATCCAAATTAATGCGGATGACCAAGTAATGTGCACGTGTGAGAGATATATACACATATATTGTAATATGCACATATATAGATATATATATATATACAAGGACCGATATGTGTATATATATATATATATTTATTTAAAACAAGTATACCCAACCATAATTGTTTACATAATATAATCTAAAATATGATCATTTCTCTTGGCGGGCTCACTTATTGCGTTTGGTGTAGGGCCCAGCCGTGTGCCACACGACGAATGCGCCAATCAACACTTGCGCTGCGTCAGAGATCGCTTGGACCACCTCATTGGAGCGATCCAGCCTCAGCACGCGTGGTGATACATGGTGATTTTCCCTGACACAAGGGGCCATACTATCAACCAGCTAGCCAAGGGTCATACAATATATAATCAATGAGCAAACCTGCAGGAATCTGCTTCTGGATGATGCTGAACATGCCGGAAGGCTTTTTAAAGTGAGGTAATGCGAGCTGTTAGCAGCAACCAATGTCTACGAAACGCACACAACTTGAAGCCAGGGAGCAAGGGCACGTTTCGACTCGACAAATCTTCAAGCACTTGCATGTCCTGGTCGGAGTTTGCTTCACCCCTTTCAAGAACATCAACATAATGTGGCATGAATTGCGGGTTAAACATGGCTGAAAGCAGGCCCACAAACCTTTCAAATGTAGGCAATTTGTTGTCAGAGTCATGTTGGCCAACATTCTTTGGACTACCCCATTGCAACCATAACCAGCCGATTTTTCATCATCTTTATCTTCGCACGTGATTATATATATATACATACAGTAATACACACAAGTAACGTGCATGTATTATACACACGGGTTTTTACAAAATACTGGATACAACATCATCTATACTAACATATTATATTACATGTACGTAGAATAACTAAAGGAATGCCGTAGTCGATGCCTTTCCGGATCTTTCCGGACGTAGGTTTCTAGCCCGCGGAGCCCCAAGACCATGAACGAAACAATGATGGGCCGAAACACCATGAAATATCAACTGTTCATCAAAAAAACGGCCAGAATAAAACAAAAACTCAAAAGCCGTCAAGAACCAATATCAATATCAATATATATATATATATATATATCAATGGTAAGCCTTTTTTTGGCCTTATAAATAGTAGGTATCTCCAATTTAGGTTGCTGAAATGGCCCCATAATTGACAAACAGGTTTTTCTGAAAATGGGCTATGCTGCCTATTAAAAAAAACGCCAAAGCGCCAAAGCCCTCCAAGTGTCAATGGAACCATCAGCATGTCGCACGCTGTCCACGTTGCTGTTTAACAGCTCTTGCATGGGCCCCCAAACCTATGATGTTTTTTGTTTGGGCGGGATATGGGGATCCAAAACGCCCAATCATAACCATCCCCAATAATAGCTTTTTATTGTTGGGTATACCCTTATGGGATTGGTGGCTTATTCTTGGAATACACCATCTTATGGATTTGTTCTTATTGTGGGTCTCATAGCCCCCACTTTGAATGATAATTGGAAATTGTTTGTTGCTGTGGAACCCACCATTATCATGTGCCCTGCTAGCCAACATGAACGATAGCCAACGTTAGTTCTGATTTCTTGTAACGGGAAAGACAAGCGATAGTGGATATGCGATGATATATCTATATAAAGATGAAGTTATCATCAGGGTGTGTCTGAGAATGGGCTATGCTCCGGCCAAAAAAAAAATACTTTTACTGAGGAAAATGGTGACTAAACTTATGAATCAGTAGATTTCGGGATACTCACTCACTCCCATGAAATTTCAATTGATTACAGTAATATATGACTAATTTGCAAGTATTTTTATATATTTTCTGGCAATCCCATGAATCACATGAGTCCACGATCCGTAGCAAAACATGTGCCTAGCCGCTAACATGGGGATTCACCAGCCAGGGACCCCGGTGGAGTATGCCGATAGATACGGCTACCTATACATGTGCATGTGCACAATATGTTTATATATATATATACTGATATATCTACTGATATATATACCTGTGCGCAGACTATTTTTTAAAAACATATTATGAATCATACGCATCCGAAAAATTAGGCATCTCTTTCCACAAGAGCAACATTTTGATATATATATATATATAAATATATAATTCATGTATGTAAATTGAGAACTCATGGAAGCTCATCCATCTCATCCCAGATCAAGCAGCGCTTAATGTCACTTTTGACAGGTCCCAATCGGTGCATCCCATGAAACCATGATCCCAGATAGGATGGGCCAGTCTTAGACACCTTGACGTCCCAGAAACCATCTGGCTGGTTAGTAATAGTCAATACCTCCATCTATCATCTAAAGCCAGGAAAAAGAAAGATATAGAAAGATATCCAAATAATCAGCCAAAGTTCACCCACGCGGTGGAATATAACTGGTACTTGGGAGAGAATCACAATTTAAAATTGGTTAAGTTTGAAACTGAGATTCTGCATACCACTGTTATGAATGGGAAGGCCCGATAGGTTGGGTCCCTAAGCGCTTTATACACAGCGCGCCAATCCTTTGAGTCGGGCCTTCTGCTGGGTAATTGCATGCATCCATTTACATCCTTCTGTAAAGCTGCTATAGCCGCAAACTTACCCACCAACCCACCATCCACATAGATCTATCATAATGATTCATGATGTATATCTGGCTGAATGATAGTCATGTACTATCTGAAATAAACCCATATTGGGATGATTCCCCTTACCAGCATTCGATGTATACTGTAGAGGCCAACTGCAGCTAGAGTCGCATCTTGCACGGCATCGAGCGCAGCAACCACTTGATGGTTTGGAGCCGCCAGGATGCCTCGGCTCTCGTCTCCTGAGCTTCAGGGCGAGGTGCAGTGCCACATGCTGGGACTTTAGGGCCCCTGAAGCCTAACATCCTACTTGGGGCTGCAGTTGGGGTAACTAATATCACGTCAGTAGCCCCCAGAAGTCAGGATATATATACACATATATATGTAAACATATATATATATATATATGTATAATCATTATATAACCCCTATTTTTGGCTCTATATCTAAAGTAATGCACATTTCTCAACCGCTTTAGAACTTACTGTATCTGTTCATTCCGCCGTAGGGCGGAGAGATGACCGAACTTGGCCTCCCACATGTACACCTATCCCCTGTTTAAGTCAATTGGGATCATGGGCTCTCTTTCAAGAGAATCAAATATAGAACAATTACATATATAATTAAAAAAACTACCAGCAAGAAAAAACATTGTGATTAAGGGATGACCCGCATATATAAAATAGTGCTTTGTTCCCTCCAGGCAAGTCTATGACATTGACACATGACCAGGTAGTTGGACCACCGCCCACAAATGGCCGTGGCGTTTTGTTGTTTTTTTGTCGTTTTGCATTGGTTTTTACAGCATTTTGTCTGTTTCTCGCTGTGCCACTGGTCCGTTTTTCTACCTTGTTTTCTCCTTTGTGGTGTTTTTTTAATTGTGGGGGTGGGTTTTGGGGTGGGTTGGGGGGGGGTTCGGGGGGGGCGTAATAACGTCCTGTCGCGTGCGTTTTACTTGACTCCGTTGTTTTGATGCTAAGTTGTGAACTTTCTTACGCTCTTGATGCTACGTTGTGAACTTTCCTCCTAGAACTGCAGACGCTCTTGATGCTGCGGTGTGAACTTTCTTCCTAGAACTGCAGACGCTTTTGATGCTACGTTGTGAACTTTCTTCCTAGAACTTCCGACGCATTTCATATCTATATTTTTGGGTGGGGTTCGGGGGGGGGAGGCGTAATAACGTCCTGTCGCGTGCGTTTTACTTGACTCCGTTGTTTTGATGCTACGCTATGAACGTTTTCCCTAGAACTTCAGACGCTCTTGATGCTACGTTGTGAACTTTCCTCCTAGAACTGCAGACGCTCTTGATGCTGCGGTGTGAACTTTCTTCCTAGAACTTCAGACGCTCTTGATGCTACGTTGTGAACTTTCTTCCTAGAACTTCAGACGCTCTTGATGCTACGTTGTGAACTTTCTTCCTAGAACTGCAGACGCTTTTGATGCTACGTTGTGAACTTCAATGATGATGATGATGATGATGATGATGATGATGATGATTATGATGATTATGATGATGATGATGTTGATGATGATGATGGTGATGATGATGATGTTGATGATGGTGGTGGCAATGCTGCTGATGATGATGGTGATGGCGATCATGAAGATGGTGATGATGATGGTGATGATGATGATGATGGTGGTGGTGGTGGTGATGACCATGATGATGATGATGATGATGATGATGATGATGATGATGATGATGATGATGATGATGATGATGATGGTGATGATGATGGTGATGATGATGATGGTGATGGTGATAATGATGATGATGATGATGATGATGGTGATGATGATGATGATGGTGATGATGCACAAAAGATGAATGGAGTCCCTTAGTTGCGGGCAAAAATATTTTGCTCGCAGTTCCACTGGCTTCTATCATGACAATATTTTCCCCAATGGAACTACGCATGAAACATGTGAAATCAAAGACTGTCCCTTAAACGCGGTGTAATTGCGTGATTCAAACAACATTGAATCATTGAAAATGCTATTTTACACCACGGCCGCCTATGAGCGGTGGACCTAGTCTGGTGGCCTTACCTCGCAATGGCTGCAGACTCAACAGCAGCCATTGACTTCCCAAATCATCCGCATCAATCCTTATAATGTGCCTTGTTCAAGTCAGAAATGATTTGGTGCAAACATGGATTAAACCCCAAAAAATGCCTGCTGGTTTTCAATCCCACTGAAAAACATTAGTTGCGAGTTGAAGACATCATCCCAAATATATAATCAAAGCTAAACACATTCCTAGCAGCTAAAACCACCAGCCAAATGCAATTTGATTTGGCAAAATGATGTCCAAAGGTCCAAAAGCGTTGAACAAATCCGTCATTTGTGTTCCCCTATGTTCAGATCAAGGTGTTCCCCCTCCCGGGTCCCAATTGTATAAATCCAATCCAATGCTCCCACCCTCAGGGCATGCAAAGTGGAGTTGAACCTCTGCATGCTTGAAAATAGCCTGGGTGCAAAGGTGCCACACTGAATACCATGGGAAGGTAATCGGACAATCGCGCGTTGGTTGATTTTTGCCTATTACATGTCTGGAAGGCTCAGTGCCTCACTGCAGTTTAAATCTTTGATGTGACTGGAGCATACCAGACCAACATTTCTACGGCAGAAACCTTTGGGATGCCAAAATCATCAAACAGCAAAGCAAAATCATTGACCTCGGGAGTGCAACATGATCAACATGGGCATGGCTTAGCTTCGCAATGCTTCGCAGCTCATCAATCATTGGGTTGGCCACAGTTTCGTGGAAGGCTTTTGGAAAGGTTCATCCAAACAATGGGTTTGTCTTGGAATTTGGAACCCTGCAATCCCATGTCTTAAAAAAATGTGAGACATTCATTGAGGCATCCACCGGTGGACAAATTCCCAAATATAATGATAATGAACTGATTTAAATCGAAACATGTGTTTATTGATACAGGTGGAATTCCACCTTCCATGTTGCTTCCAAACATGTTTAAATCTGCATGTAGATTAGAACCAAATTCATAGTGAAACCAGCTGCCAAGGGCAGCTAAGGATGCATTTGGCGTCAAGCAGCATGGATTTATACATGCTGACCTTGGTGCCCCGAGATATCAGCAGAAACTCTTTGGTCATCATTTGCGACAATGTTGTCCTGAGGCAGCGTTCGGCCCATCTTTGTGGTGAAATAGGCCAAGCTGATAAACAGCTTGGAATTGTCACTTGGAATTGTCACATGAAGGAGATCCCCCCAGTTGACTCACAAATTGGGGCTTCACAAAATTGAATCATCCTCAAATGATGAAATGATCACAAATTGTCACATTAAATCCACCCCCTAAGTCTTGGGACACCAAAATGATGAGTTCATTTAGTTCCAATACTACACCATGGTTTCGAGGGTGGCATCTAACATTAGGGGACAGATTGTACAATTCTCAGTTGGGCATCAAAGGCATGTTTCTTTTTTCCTGGCCGCGGTGATATGTAGAAAATTCTGGTGGAACTATCTACTTATCTAGCAGGATATGACATCACGAATCTCCATTAGTATCCCCATCCTTTTCACAGAATCCTAGAAGGGTGTATCCTACCATAAGTCGGTCACCCGTGTCATGTTCACCATCTCCAGGCAACAACAAAAACAAGCCCAGGGCGCAATTCCATCTCTTTGTATCGGGGATGTTTTTGTTGTCCATAGTTGTCCAATAAAAACCTGTTATATATATTTATAATAGGTATAGATGGGTTTTAATATATATATATATACATAGATACTAATAGATAGTTAATCATCCTTATTCAAAGCATGGGAGAAAGATGAGGGGAGCATCTCCACTATTCTCTTCTGGGTTTCAAAGCTCCCACTACCCATGGGCAAGTCAGTTAGTCGTTAATCGCCTGCGTAGAACCCAGTATAAGGCCAGTATATAAAACCTATTTTTGAAAAGGAAAAACTCGCATACCAAAAAAGAATCCAGAGATATATGACCCAAATAGAACCCGTATCATATATATATATATAGATATGTTATATATATATATATTAAAACCCATCTATATCATTCTATATCTATTATAAATATATATAACTGGTGTATTTCATATGCTGCTTCCCCGGCCCTGGGTCGTGCCAAGGCTCTGCATCCCTGCCTGGTTGATGGTCTCCACCCAGCTAGCTGCTACAATCCCTAGGAAGATGTGCAGAAGCCATGGAGTTGCCACCCCCATTGCGGCCTGCAGCCTGGGTAGTGCCGGGCAGTTTGTCGATTTTTTGATGGCATGCTGAACTACTCAAAATTTTCAATTTCAAAAAGATCCTTTTACATCTGTGGATGAAGGTGTCACATTTTTTGGATCACGGATAGGTGCTCACATTTTTTTCAATCATCTGTCTAATTTCAATTTCACATGTTTTGGATCACTGTGCTCACTGGATGAAGTTGGTGAATTGCGATTGATCTGGTGGTGTAATGCGCTGAGTTGACAAGAAGCAGCCCCAAATAGATTTAAACAATCCAGCCCTCAAATGGATTTAGACATGTTGACTTTAAACTAACCAACCCAAAAATAATGTGAGCCGTTTTTCATTTTATCGAACATGTTCTTATTGGGTGATGTTGGGTTCCATCACGTTCCATGTGCAAATGGTCGTGGGGTCTCCAATGGTCACAGTGGTCATCCTCGAGTTGCCCCCCACATGACTTGGCATTCACCTATTTATCATATTATAAACTTGTGCGGGGTGCGTGCCTCAGCTTGGGTGGTTCAGTGACCCAGTGACCTGTTTCCCGCACGCTCGCGGCAGCCGAAGGTTTGATTCAAAATAGGCTGCGGTGTGGGTACTGGCCAAATGGTGGCAAAACTGAGGGAGCCAAAAACATGGGTAGACGAATTTTAAGGTAATCGATAGTCCAATTCCTTAGGTTTTTGCGATTTTCACCGACCAAAACATGTTCCAAAGGTTTTCACATGTTTTGCTATGTTTTGCTCCATACGCATCTGACCCCACAGGAGGGTGTCCGGCTCTAATTTGGGAGGGCTTTGAACCGACTACCATTGACAGCCTTCACCCACTCCCTGCTGACGGCTGTATGGTACATGAGTTTTGAACCGCTGAAGACTAAAACCACAAATTCACAGGCCAACATCTTCATGATAGAAGCTTCATTGCTCAATTGCCATGTTTGGGTCAAGTGGGTCGAGCCGCCAGCTTTGCAAACGGATCGGACCTCCACCCGCCACCCCATTTGGTTTTGAGGACATTCAATTTTCCTTTGGGTTGCTCCAACCTGTAGTTGAATCATGGCCACAAGGGAAAAAAACTTGGTATTTTACATATTGTATCCGAGGTGTTGGGGGTTGGCAACCTTGGTTTATTTGACGTTTCAAAGGAACGAAGAAGCCCGTTGCAAGGCCCTTGCAGCTGCCATTGGCTTCAACACGCGATTTCTCAGCAAAATCATCAACCACCAACGGGTCAACTGGGCATTGCTCACATGAACCAAGCTCCATGCCAAGGTGCACGAAGACAGAGGAATGAACAAAGACATAGACGTACCTGAGCTCCAACCACTGCCAATTGTGCATCAATGGCCATAGCATGGATGCGCAAAACCTATATAATTTTCAGTTGGCATCCTTCCGTATGGCTCAGATCTGAGGAACGACGGCTTGGGTTTAGTTGCGCACGTTTTCCAAATGTTTTTTTCTAAATCTGACTATGGATAGATGTTTGATGTTATATATATATACATGCTATATTATACTATTAGATATGATTTGATGCTTCCTTCTCCCATCCCATCATTGACCCCTCAACATCTGGAACCAATTCTTTGGCGCCTTCCTGGATCCGTTGATCCTGTGCACCGGACGGCCCAAAGAAAAATCTGGCGGTTGATTATGTACCCCATGAACATCCATGAACATAGAAGTCATACTTGGTTTATGATGACATGTACTAATTATGAAACATATAGCCCAAGAACATAATTATGTACCCCAAACCAATTAAAAATAAAGAACATGTTTGGTTTGGGGTACTCTTCCCTGCAAACTCAGCGCCCATCTTAGATACCATGCACGGATCATGTTTCAGCCATGCAGGACTCATCCGGGATCCCAGGTGGCCATGCTGCAGGTGTTTCAGCCACCAGCCTGGGAGGTGGTGGAGACCAGGACCCGAGGTATAGCTGGACCCGGAAAAATCACCAATGAATATGATGCTTTAGTGAGTATGTCATGGATATCATGAAACATACTGGTATATACATATATATAAATATATATATATAATATAATATATATATATAGATGCACATAATTATTTATGACATTTTATGAACATATATGCCCGTAAATGCTATATGTGATATATGGTGTGTCATTCTTTTGAACATAATCTGGGCAATGCAAACACAATGGCAAAACTGGTGCCCAACGTCTTGCCCATATCCATGTGTGTTCCAATCTATACTGTGTCAACGTGTCTACTCCTATTCGTTGATGATGTGGTGTATTGTAATAGGTTTTACCATGCTTTACCTATACTGTATATGGAACCCAAGAAACATGTGTTTCTTCTGGCTCATGTTTTGATGAAAAAATAAATATACTCAAGTCAATTGAGCACGAGGTATTTTGAACAATCATCCAATCAAATATCATACACCTCTATCCAGTCTTGATCTTGGGATGGTTAACTACAAATAACACAAATAAAGCAATTTAACGTGTTGGTTTGCATAAATTAAGCAGGACCCCCACATGAATTCTACATCAAACTTTGGTCATCAGGCACCAATCAGATGGCAAAGCCTGAGCAAAGGTTTGGTCTCCGAAAAAAAACATGTTCAACAAAGACCAACAAAGCTCATTCTGGTTGGTGGTTTCAACCCAATATATGGAAACATAAAAAATGTTCCAAACCACCAATCAGTCATTTCTTGGGAAATCAATTCCTTGGGCCATCAGCAGTGCCAAGGAACGTACTCAGCTGGATGCCCATGTAGCATTTTTACCTGAGATTGCGCCTCTGAGAGGCTGAGGCAACCTACACTACAGCAAAATCCGACGATAAATCATACCACAGTTGCCAAGTTTTACGATTTGGTAGGTATAAGAAAAACATAGAAAAACATGCCAAATTTAGAGAGAAAAACAAGGGTTGTGGCATCCCATTTGTCATGGATGTTATGGCTACGGCTATGGTTTGGGAACCAGCCCAAGGGTTTTGGAACTTTGAACTGGTGGAAATGGAAAGGAACAAATTGATACGAATTGTGAAACATGATACTGTAATCTCTTGGTTGATCCTGGAAGTTCATCAACCTTCTTTGAGCTCAATTTTCCTCCGACTGTTCCACACTGAAATCAACAAATGGCTAGCTAGGGAAACCAAGAAAACGTTTCAATTTCACCCTCGAATCAGGTTATCGCTTTGGGTACACTAGTCCATCATATCGCTGTCCATGGTTTGCGATCTTCAGGCCATGTCTCAGAAAAAAACTTGGCATGATGAAGCCCGGGCATATCTTCAAATCAGTAGATCTATACCTGCGATTCCTGCATGGCCGCGACCAAAATGGACGGTTGCTTCTACAACAAAACTGCTGATACTGCTCTATTTAATGGTGACACATCGCCATACTTAGATGACCTATATATATAATATATAATATACCTATGGAGTTAGCCAACAGGTTGCAGCATTGTAACCAAATATCCATCAACTATAGCGTCTTATAAGTGGTTTGCACATGTTTGCACGCAATGTTTGCTAACTTATGGTTAGATCAAAACTGTTTTAAATGTGTTTATATACTATAACATTGATTTACCATGTTTGGAAGGCATATGAACATCCATTTAGATCCGTAAATCCCAGCGGCTTGAACACCACAAACATTCCCTGCCATGACCGGGCTTGGGACCTGCCAGCAGTTCTGGGGGATCATCCTCCAGCGGAATTTATCTGACCTAAAAGGTTTGACTCAAGACTTCAGGTAATGCGTGGTGATGTGAGGCATGTTGTGAGCACATTTACAGTATGACATGTCTTTGAACAATTATCACTATACAGACTATACATAATATTAAGAACACACGCACTGAAGTGGGTGGGAGAAAAACTCCATCCAACATTAGAGATTGACCGATTTACCATTGAGTTTGCCGGATTAGAATATGCGATCTGGGATTTGCCATTTGGAATGGCAAGGGTGGTGATGGCCAACCTGAATTTTTGCAAGGTTGTCTGTCAGTCTGTGGTGAGTGCAGTTTGCACTTGTGTACCCTGCACTCAGTACAGACCTATATATGCGGTTTGGATCCAAGGGGCCAAACCACTCGCAAAGAAATGCAAAGAAGAAGTTCTTGCTGTCACGGGTTTTGGAGGAAAAATGATACACAGCGAATCACAGCGATACAGGACACGGACACCCCCTTGGATTGAATAGTAAGATGATGTAAGATGTCTTTTTCCTTTCGGTCGATTTCAGGGCAGCCAAACAATTGATATCAACCCATCTCTGCTTGTCAGCGTTGCGGGCTGTGCCTTGAGCCAAATGCAACATCAAGCGTTTTCGTCCAGTTTCACAACTGCTGAAGCACAAAGAAAAAACGCACACGTCTATAGGCAAATAGTATATAATTAATTGCTAAGGTTGATCTTTTGTCTTGGGCCGGTTCCAGCTAGTTCACTACAATCAAATCAATCAATGAAAATAACCTAACATTATTTCTGATGCGGTCAGTCATGTACACCAATTTGTGTGGAGCAGGCACAACTTTGCCCCAACAGTTGAAGGTTAACAACCCAAAGGTGAAGGACAACAGATTGCAATCACTGCCAGGCTTGGTGGTCTTGGATAGCTTTCCAGGGTTTGTGCTTTCAAGAGTTCGAACACGGCTCAACAATACAATCAGCTCACCTAGACATGCATGTGGCAATGAATATGCGTATAACTGTGTAGTGTCTGCATCTGTATCTCTAACCATCTATCTATCTAACCATGTATATCTATCTCATTGATTATTTCATTATCTATCCTGTGCAGTTTAAACACACACAAGGACAGCATACTTTCGCACGCAAACAATCCCACACACAGTGATAGTAATAACCATAAAATAGTACGAAATAATAAGATGTATGTCATACTGACCATAGAAATATAAAACAGTAACACTAATAAACATACTAACCGTTACTAACCAGTATTTTCATGATGTATATCCTATTGACCTGGAATCCCTCCGTGAATTGTCCATCTACAGATCGGTCACCGGGCAGGAGGGACCAGTGGCCAAGCCATGGCGTCGGGGCTGAAGTTCTCAGAGGTCTGGATTTCAAGATCCTGCTTGGAAGGCACGTACCAGGGATATCATGTGCGCATGCTATGCGTATAATCAGTATGTATGCAAGTGCGTATTATATATATATATCATATTATATCAATTATATATATTCAAAAAAAACATATGTTTGTATACATATATATATATATATGATTGGATACCAATGTGTCTGCGCATGTATGTGCCTACAGGAAACTCGCTGAAATGTGCGTTCTGTCCTGCATCCCCCTGAAGACTTGCTCATCTTCCAGCAGCCAGGCGTTGAACAGCATACCCACCTTTGCGGCCCAGCCCAGCCTGGTAGCTTTACAGAAGGTGCAGTATGGTGCAGTCCAAATCCCAAGCTTCCATCAAAAAGGGGGAAACATATCAACAAAATGTTTGATCTACTGGTGGCCATATGACTTTTGCAAATTGTCTAACAGTTGTTGGTGAGAGTCGGGCTGCAGGTGG